ATTATGTATGTTGCAGTTTTTTTTTTTTTAGGGTATTATTTGCCATTATATATATTTATGCTGAATTTGTCTACATATTTTATTTTTATTGCCTAGTTTATTTATTTTTTTAAGTTTTTCTTTCAGGTTGTTCTAAATATAAATAATATTATGGGCTCTTATGATAAGGTAATTATATAATAAAAGAAGATAATTTTTTATATAAGAATTATCTTATATAAGATAATATTACTTATAAGTTATGTAAGTACAGTAGAATAATAATTATATTATATTATATTATATTATATTATATTATATAAGATAATTATCTTAAACTATAAGATATGTATTATGGCTGCTTTCATAAAGATCTTTTTAAAAATAGTGAGTTGTTTTTATGTGGACATGTTTCCAACTCCTTTGGGTAAATACCAACGAGTGTGATTGCAGGATTGTGTGGTAACAGTATGTTTGTTTTTGTATGAAACTGCTTAATTGTCCTCCAGAGTGGCTGTACCATCCTTCATTCCTATCAGTGATGAATCAGAGTTCCTGTTGCTCCATGCTTTCCTCAGCATTTGGTGTTGTCAGTGTTTTGGATTTTTGCCATTATAGTAGGTGTGTAGTGGTATTTTACTCATCATTTGAATTTGCAATTCCCTAATGACAAATGTGTGGAGTATGCATAAAGCAAATGTACTTCACAGGGTTTGGTTTTCCAAAGCCTTGCAGTTTCCAATATTGACCTTGCAAAGGACAGGAAATTTCCCCCAGGCTATAGTCTCTGTTGTAAGATAGAGAATCGTAACAAGCAAGGTTGCTGGCTCACAGATAGACAGGTTATGACTGATATGTAAAGATACTGGGAAATTGCTGTAAGAAGAGAATGTTTGCTAAAATCAAGCTTTTGTTGCAACTTGCATTATAGAATATCACCTTGCCTGTCTAACTGAATGTTACCAGCTTCTATTGTTAAACTCATTAAACTGTACTTAGCAACAACTCCACCTATCTTCTCTTCCTGAAACTTCCTGGTCTGGAGAATAAATGTGGGAAGAGAACCCCAATTTATGGTTAATATCCCAAATGGAAGGAATGCCTGTCTCTTGAGGGTTCCAGGAGATTAACCCCTTTTGGAGGCTTCTCACTGCTCAGGAGAGATGGACTTTGAGTAATCTTTGGTGGCTCCATCACCCAAGGGAAAAGGGGTGACAAATCTGTGGGAGGCAAAGCAACACAAGTGATAATTATTTTATATAACATAATTATATTAAACTGTAAGGTAAATATTATGGTCTGCTTTCATGAAGATCTTTTTTAAAAAAATTATTGAACTTTGTTTTTCAGAGCAGTTTTAGGTTCAGAGCCAAACTGAGCAAAAAGTACAGAGATTTCTCATATAATCCTTGTCTCCCTTCAACTTCCCGTATTATGGACATCCTGCACCACAGCGGTACATTTATTACAATCAATGAACCTACATTAACACATTATCGCCCAAAGTCCATAGTTTATATTAGGCCTCACTCTTGCTTTTGTATATTCTGTGGGTTTGGACAATTGTATACATTTGCCTTGCTTTTAGTTGACTCATTAGAGTTTTCCATGACGATAATCTTATCTTCAGTAAATCTTAATTTTGTTTCCTACTTTCTAATTTTTATACCTCATCTATTTTCTATCACATTAACTAGAACATTCAGAATTATGTTAAATAATAAACATCATAGAGGAATTCTTAAGTTTTCATCAGTCTTCTAGGTGTGAAAGCCATCGGTAAGAGTGGACTTATGATTTTACTGATGGTTTGTGTGATATCACACTTAAAGTCACATCCAGTCCTGTCCTATGTAATTATTAAGGAACTGAGGCAGTAGCATTTTTAAAGTTATGTCAAAGAAATGTATATTCTTGGCATTTAAAAATGTCAAGTGCTGTCATATGTCCAGATACTGAAAATGATGGGTCATGATTGAAGTTTTAAATTCCACATGTGGTATCTGGAATCCACAGTACCAATGTATGACTCAATAAATGCTTATTTATTTTGTTTTCATGAACACAAAATTGCAAGTGCTTATATTTTGGTAAGAAATTTTGGTACTGTATTCTATTTTGTAAATAAAACCCCTAACAATAAAGGTTTTTACAAAACGATGTTAAAATTGAGATATGATACAATATGTCAGAAAAGTATTTTTCTAATAGACACACTCTGATAATTCTGGACTAGCAATATTCTCAGCATTTATTGCTAGTTGTCATTCACTTATCTACCATGATGAATATGAGATTTAAGTGCTGTCATAATCTTTTGTAATTAATTTTGTGTTTGAACAGTAGAATAACACGCTTGTGTAATGATGCTTCTTTGCTGGTAATCAGTATTGTTTCATGAAGATATATGAAGATCTAGTTAAACATAATTTTTAGAAGGTAATTTGCAGCATAAATGTTGGTATTTTTGAATAGTGACTTTTAAAATGTAAGTACAGAATTTATGCACTTTATACCTTATTTTAGCATGGTAGCCACTAACACCTTGTAGCTAAATTAAATAAAATGTATGTAGTTAAATTAAATAAAATTTATGTTTTATTTCCTCATTCGCACTAGCTACATTTCACCTGCTCATTAGACACACGTGGGTTGGGGATATCAAGTTACACAGCGAAAATATAGAACATTTTCATCATCACAGAATGTTCTATTGGACAGTGCTATTCTAGAACACAAGCAGTTTGTTAAAATAAACCATTTTTAGTTGTTTATTAACAATAAAACCATTTTAATGTGATTTTTTTTTTTTACTTCATAGTAACTCCTGAAATAAAATATCAAAATCAAAAAAGGAAGGATAAGAAACACAGTGAAAGGATTTGCTTCCCTACTATTATTTTTTGTTTTGTTTTTAGTTCTTTTTTTTTTTTCCTTTTTGTCTTTTTTCGTGTCCGGCAATGGATAGCAACCCTCGGTGTCGCGCCCGTATAGGACCAGGACCGGCAACGGGATGGCAACCCTCGCTGTTGCGCCCGCACCTCGCTCAGCCAGTGAGCGGGAACCGGTCTGTATGTGGGATCCGAACCCTCGGTGGGAGCGCCGCCGCGCTCCCAAGCGGCGCACTGTAGCAGTGCGCCACCGGGCCGGCCCTGTTTTTAGTTCTTTATGACAGATAATGTAATGGTTTCAACTATAACTGAATATAGTGTGCACAACTGTCTGCTCAGATAGATCCAAAACTCAGTGGGGGAGCAGTTGTCTTCCATTGGTCCATCATTAAATCTATTTTCTCTGTTATGCAGACAGGGTCAGCAGTGTACAGTAGATGTTGGCATACTAGTTTTTGCATAAATTTCATCCCTGGAATTTATAACTCGTCCATGTGAAATCTCTACTTTTTTCTTCCTCAGAATTGGAAGAAGGCAACATCAGATAGACACATCATTGAGGCAGCACAGTAGAATAAAAGCCTGGAAAATATTTTCTAAGATTGGCTACTTAATTCTCTTCTTTCATTGACCTTGTAATTGTAGAGGAAACTTTGCTACAGAAACAGTGTTTTCTCCAAATTTATTTATTTTTAAAGGCCTTGTGATAATTCAAGTAACTTTTAACATTATATGTTTAATAACGTGCACTACTTTTATTTATTCTTAATGATATAGTTTCAACTTATCTAGAAATAGTTTGAAATTTTCCCTGGAGTGAAGAGGGAAAATGAATCTGAAAATGTAATGCATTTTATAGTTTAGTCTTGATATTGGAAGAAATGATCATTTACTTGCTATTTTTTTTTTTTTTTAGGTTGCTTGCAATATTAGAATGTTGAGAAGGTGTAGTTGTTAAAACTACATTTAGGTGGTGTGAATTTATACAAATATGATGGTTAATATATTATAATGAGTAAAAATAGGTATCGATTTGGTGATGTACATATAAATCTATTTTGAGTTGTTCTTGAAATAAAAGCATTCAGTTTGCACGAGCAATTGTTTAGAGCTTTTTTCTATTTGGGGTCTAATTTGGAGACTAAGTATTGATTATATGGAGCAGGTTAGGAGATGTTTGCACGTTATATGGCCCCCACATATAGTGTACTTGTTTCTAAAAACAATAGGGGATGATTTTAACTATTACATGTGATCTGTTGACATGAAGTGTTAGCCTTCTAGTTGTACAGCCATCATCTGACTTGCCATTTGCACCTTAGATAAAGGTACAATGTAGGAACTGTGGTCTGGGACGTATTCATTCATCAATCCCTTCTTCAAAAAGTATTTATTGAGAGCTGTTTAACCCTTTTTAACTGTTCTGTTAAAATTTTCTCTTCTACATAATGTCTCAGCAAATGGATATAAATTACATAAATAGAGACTGCCAGGATATTAAGGCATTTAGGTAAAGGGGAAATATATGTTAAAGATCATTTTTTTACCTATGGAAAGAGTCTTTTCTATGAATTACCAAATTAGTACTTAAAATAATTATTTTCTAAAACATAATCTTTCTTTGGTATGCTTTGGTCATAACTGGGAATGTAACTGTTGAAATAAAATGATTTAAATAAAAGACACATGTTGACATAACTGGAAATGAAAAATCTTAGCTCTTCTTTCTGGGATTAACATTGATGTTCAATTAAAAGAAAAAAAAACAAGTGTTTCAAAGATATTTCATAGATATTATTCAAAGAAGAGATATCATTTGTCATTCAACCTTATGGAAGTTTTATTTCAAATTTTTAAAAATCTAGTATACTCATGCAATTATGTGCTCCAGAACTGATCCATTTTTAATATATTTCAGTTCATGCCAACTTTGCTTCCAATTCTATACTTAAATAGTTTTTATCTTTCAAAATTAAAGTGGTAATTAGAACAAATGCTAGGATAATTTTAGAAAGTGATTCCTTAGACAAGGTATTGGATCATTGGATATTTGAAAAAAAAAGACTTTGTGATTGTTTCGAATGGTAAACATTATTTCTGTTTTAAGTCATTTTCTGGTTGTCATTGCAGCTATGAAGTCTTACACTCCATATTTCATGCTCCTGTGGAGTGCTGTTGGGATAGCGAAGGCTGCCAAAATCATCATCGTGCCGCCAATTATGTTTGAAAGCCATATATACATTTTCAAGACGCTGGCCTCGGCCTTACACGAGAGAGGCCACCATACAGTGTTCCTCCTCTCTGAAGGCAGAGACATCGCCCCATCTAATCATTACAGCTTCCAGCGCTACCCAGGGATCTTTAACAGTACCACCTCGGATGCTTTCCTGCAGTCCAAAATGCAGAATATTTTCTCTGGGAGATTGACAGCAATCGAGCTGTTTGACATACTGGATCACTATACTAAGAACTGTGACATGATTGTTGGCAACCGTGCCCTGATCCAGGGCCTGAAAAAAGAAAAGTTTGACCTGCTGCTGGTGGACCCTAATGATATGTGTGGATTTGTGATAGCTCATCTTTTAGGGGTTAAATATGCTGTATTTTCAACTGGCCTTTGGTATCCTGCTGAAGTGGGCGCTCCTGCCCCATTAGCTTACGTCCCAGAATTTAATTCACTCCTCACAGACCACATGAACTTGCTGCAAAGGATGAAAAATACTGGCGTTTACCTCATGTCCAGATTAGGGGTCAGCTTTCTGGTTCTTCCCAAATACGAAAGGATAATGCAGAAGTACAACCTGCTGCCACAGAAGTCCATGTATGATTTGGTTCATGGGTCCAGCCTGTGGATGCTGTGTACTGACGTAGCACTGGAGTTTCCAAGACCCACTCTGCCTAATGTTGTTTATGTAGGAGGAATCCTAACCAAACCGGCCAGCCCACTACCAGAAGTAAGGTTTGCTGAACTCCTTGGTAATTCTTTTTAAAATATAGAGATCAATTTTGGTTTTTGGAAGAGAGGATTGATTATTGTTTCATAACTAATGATACTCAAAAAAGTGGTTAGGACACAGAGCCTACCAAGATCCATTTATTTGGGGATATACTTCTTCCCTGGGGCACAATCCTGCTTCGAATGAGCATTTCTGTAATACCAAGAGGCTACCCTGCCATATGATCAATAGGCTGGCTGGGGAAGTAGACTTTTTATTACATACTAACTACAGTATGTGAGGACATATAGTTAGATGGTAGTATTAATGAGTATGAAGTGATTTTGCTTTTAATTAAACACAGGGTCTCCTCTGTTCTACTCCAAATAGCACAATCACAGGTCTCTATGTTTGGGTTAGGTTTAGTGAACTCAAATAAATATAAACCAAGTGAATAGAGGCTCTTCTTTGGGAAGTCACAACCACTAGGAAGTTTATGTCCGACAATGAAAATGAGGTAGTAAGTTCCATCAATTAGGGAGTCAACTAATTAAGTTTGTAAGCAGATGTAACTGTCCTAAGGAAATCATGCCCTATTATGGTTTCATTTCAGAGACGGAATTAATGGCACTTTAAGAAAGTCTGTGTGTTCTCTAAGTCAAATCTAAATTTTTTTTCCTGGTTGGACAATCAGGGAATCCCTTGGTGTTCTGTTCTCCATACCAGTTTGTTTATTAGGTATCTCAAGCTAGCAGGAACCACGCGCATATGTATTGTTGTAGTGGATTTTCTAACCTCTGGTTGACTCTCTTGGTTCAATCTCAACATATGATGCCATTTACCAGAAGTGTAAGGCTTGTTCCTGTGTTTTCTGTATTGAAACTATTTCTACTCTTATAGCCACTCACAGCAACTCTGCTAAATTGTTGATTTCTAGCTCTGGCCACTACATACTACAAAAAACATCTGTCAGGGCTTTGATGAAGAGTAAATCCAGATTTTTTCATATAGGTATCAGATATTTTATCAGATAAGATAAAATTATAAGATAATTCATTTAGGGGCCGGCCCCGTGGCCCACTCGGGAGAGTGCGGCGCTTGGGAGTGTAGCAGTGCTCCCGCCGCGGGTTCGGATCCTACATAGGGATGGCTGGTGCGCTCACTGGCTGAGAGCGGTGCGGACGACACCAAACCAAGGGTTGCGATCCCCTTACCAGTCACAAAAAGGACAAAAAAAAAAAAAAAAAAAAGATAATTCATTTAGGTATCCCGTATACCTATATCCTGAAACCTATATGAATTCCACTGCATGGAATTTTCTTATGGGGTAATAAGGTGATTGAAATATATAACCTGTAGACCTTTCTAATACAACCATTAGAGTTATATTTGAGAAATAATGTTTTGATATATTTCCTATAACATGGAAACGTAGAAATGGCCGGATCTATGGCCTGTACAGCCCTAGCATTTCAAATAGATGCAGCCGCTAGAAGCTACAAGGGCACAATTGTTCTCTCTGACATCAACTGTAAAGGATAGGGATTAATTTCAGTTTATCTCAGCCATTCGTGAATTTATCCAAGCCCATTTTGAATCCTTAAATATTCTCTGCCAGAATCATCTTGTGATATATTACTCCCCTTCCTAAATGTAGCTAAAATAAGATTTTAGAAGCTGCTACTAAAAGATTTGTTAAGCAAGTCTGTCTTTACCTCACTGGTTATTTATAATGTTACACGAATCAACTTTGTTCTCTCCAAGACTTCATCTTTTCCCAACTAGAGCACTGCCCTTCTGCCAGCTCCTTTTGGTTTTTATTTGGGTCCTGTCTCTCTTCTGTCACCTGATTGAAAAAGGAATTGACGATGGAAAAGAATCTTCTGATTGCCTTTTTTTCCCCTCCACTTCCTATACGTTTTTTAGTTTGCAGCAGCTTGAACGACACAATATAAATATAGAATAATATTTATGCTTTGTTTTCTATACTGTATGCTTTACTAATATGCAAAGTATGTGAAAAAAAATTTTTCCCCTATAGTTCAAGCTTATCTTTTCTCCCTTGGGTCCCCCTTTCCACTTATACTGTAACTAGTTTCACTGTTTTACTTTAAAAACATCTTTTGAGCGGTTTTTAGAACCTCACATAAGGTATTACTAAAAATGTTTTTTGATTTACCATAATTTCTAGCTTGACACTGTGGGCTTCCCAGTTCTTTTTTGTGCTTCCCTATTCTCGTTGTGCTTTCTGCAGTGTTTCTTTTGAAGCGTGCTTTTTATTTACAATCGCTATGTGCCAATTAGTTGGGTCACACACACAGATATTCATCTGGCATGTGCATGTGTTATATATAATTTGTGGACATAGATATATATATTATTATTGAAAGTCTTTTAGATTATAAGTATGAAGTACTATTTTCATTTCAGTGTGCCAGTTACAGTTCTTGAATAATGATGTGTTTTACTCTTTCAGGTATTCCTTACTCTGGTGAGGTTTTTTTGTATGCTTAGTAACACATGGGTTCCTATTGTGATTTCTCTAGATCTATGTGAGATAATAAACTGTAATGTAGTTAGGGCTGTAAAAGTTAATGAGTTTCTCAAATGCCTGTGTTATTTACAGGGCATGGTCGTGAAACTAAAACAAGAAGGCCCAGCAATACATTGCTCACTAATGACAGCTGAATTGTTAACTGCCATGATATTTTATGCTGGGAATGGATTAAGTTTTCTGGATGGCTGGAACTGATTTGACAGTGAGATTTGAATTTTACAATCTGGGATAAAAGGATACAGAAAATTTCTAAAAGACACTTTTTAGAAGCTTTTATAATGCTTGAGCCTAAAGAAACTCTCGAGAGCATTTAGTTCAGCTCCATTTGTTTTATTTATTTTTCCCCTCAAAATACATGGTCATAAGAGAGTCCATCCATTTGTCACAGAGCAGATACAAAGAGTTCAGTGGCTTATCCAAGGCCACACAGATAGTTTGTGGCAAAGCCATGGTAATGTGGATTGTTTTTCCATTGATTAGATATTTTGTCAAGGTGCCTGCTTCTCTTGTCACTCCTTTTAGTCATTTACACACTTATAATTGTGTACAAAACTATGCAGAGACAGCAGTTTCCCTTATTTATTTGATATCTCAAAGATTGTAACATGTAATATTAGAGTCAAATGAAATCATTTGGACTCTTACTTTAGAGATTTGATAATAGAAACCAGCCCAAATCCAAATGCTTTTGATTACAAAGTGTTATATTGGTATACAGTGAAGAACTTGTGTGCATTGATAATAGAATCATTTTAAAATGCATGTTAGAAATGTGCCAGGAGGAACCACCTCTCACAAACTATCCACTAACTGGCTGCCTACAGTAGGGATCCTTTAAGGTGTAGATTAAGGAGAGGAGGTCTGGGTTGGATCGCATCCGTACAGTGGTTATCTATTCTGTCATTGCAGGCAAATAGAGAATGTGGATACAAATTAAAAAAAAAATGCTTTGCTTTGGCTAAAAAGGAGGTTTGTAAACAAGTCCCTTATTTGAATAGGTTCTTTAAATATTAAATGTTAATTAAATAATGACATCTAATAGGGAGTGATTTTAGCTTTAATAGTTTTATTAGAGGGCAATAACAATAATACAACCAAAGGATAGTACATGTCTATAGGGTCTATCAGTTATAAAATTTAAGTGTTTTAGGTGATAATTTTTAGATAATTTTCTATTGGCTGAAGTGATCTGGTTACTTTTAGGCTTCTACCGCCCTGAACTCTTATAGCACCTAACAGATTTTATTTAACTATTGGTTTTCTATACGGCTCTCTTCCTAACTAGAATGTGGGTACCTCAAAGGCTAAATAGCCTATTTTTTCACTTTTGTATCCTGAGTGCCTGGGAAATGGTAGGCACTCAATAAATGTTTAATATTAAACAAACTGCATCAAATAGAAATAGCTGCCAAAAAATAGGTGATTCAGCTAGTACGACAATGTTGTTAATATTATAGCCATTATCAGTTTATTCCAAATTTATGTCCACATACCATTCCAGTCTGTAGGCAACTGGAAATTCCAGGCTAAGTTATTTTAATGAATTAGAATAGCTACTCTTAATGTTATTGATATTGAGAAAAGGAGATAATCATGCTTTACCCAACTGGTGAATTAAAATGGTCTCTACTCTGTTCCAAATATGCATATAAAAAGGGATAGTAGTGACAGACCAGCTATTGCTGTCTTGAAAGATGATTCGCGGTAGTATAATACTCACTTTGTGCACCTCAGAGATGCTTTACTGCCAGTGAGAACTATTAAGGGCATTTTCATTTTACCAGTTGTAGAGACATTTTCAATTTAGAGAAGCAGTCACAGGAAAAGATGCGGATAAGAGATAAAGAGATAAGAAAGTGCATGGTATCAAGGACAGGGTTCTGACATATTCTTGGTTTGTCACTTTGTCATTTGCCAGAACTCCCTCACAGAGAGAGGTCTTGGGGAAAACGAGAGACTGAACAACAGATCCATTAGGTCAGCACTTGTGAGCAGGCTAGGTTATAAGAAGAGGAATGAAACCTAGGAAAAAAAATAATGGCTTTCCATGTTTAGTATTCATTGACTCACCATGAGAAACAAGCCATTACTTATTACATGTGATGATTGAAAGCTGATTTCACCATTAATGAATGAAGTATCTAGGCTGGGATATGGGACCAGAGTCCTTGGGTCTAAAAGGCTTGATCTAGGGTTGCAGCAGATGTGGAAAATTAAGGCCATGTTAGTAATATGTTACATTTTCAAGTTATGTTATCTCATGAAATTTAAAGATGGAGATGGGATTATAACCATTATACTATATTGATAAAAAATGCCAGTTTTCAAATAAGTGTCATTTAATCAAAACATATTCTCTATAGTAGGCTTCTTATTTTGGATACCAACATTCACAAATAGTTTTCATAGAGTGTCTTCATCTATATAGTGATACTGTGCTATGTTGGTAGCCAGGTGGGGA